AAGAGAGAGATTTGTGTATGCCATTCATTTCATAGCATTGCGTATGCTAGGTTGTATGTTAACGCATTGTGTATGCCATGTTATCTCGTGCATCGTGTATGCCATTTCATAGCATTGTGTATGTTAGGTTGTAATCTTAGTTGCATTTCATGTATATCATGGCATATTGCATCGTGTTTGGGATAGGAGTTAGCCCGAGCACGGGAAACGAGGGACGTTTCGTACTCCGAGTGACGGAACGTGTCTCAATTCCCGGTCGCCGATACTCCGGATTATCCATGATGGAGTTTAGGCCCTATTGTTTTTCATGTGCATTCATTCTATATTGAGTTGCACAATTCGATTCCTCGGCCATCATGCATCGAGATGCGTGATTGGTGGCACGAGGATCGAGGCACGCATACATTTGTGAAAATACATTGCCATGCCCCTTTCTTGCTCTCTGTTGCAGCAAATCAAAGAATTAGCAACCTTCCGGAGCTTGGCGTGCTTTCCAAGAATAATTGCAAAACAGAGTCTAATTGGGGCATCCTAGTGGATTTCCGCGCAAGGCAGCCCAAACATACATCATTCATCAGAGTCGAGGCAGTCCCTGGCTTGCATGCCAGTTTTATTATTTTCTTAGTTAATTTGTAATTTAATTAGGATTTTGTTAATTATTTGGACTGTATTATTCTTTCATTTGGGACTGTATATTATTTTATTCGGACCCTCTGTGCGAGGGCATAATTGTAATAAGTGTGCGTGAGTGTGATGTATGTAGTCTTCCAACCCACGTCTTTCTCTTTATTTTACCCGCTTATGATGGTTAGATTAGGGCATGTTTCAATTAGCATACAGTATGATAGCATGTTTGCATTCATTCATCTGTTTTGTATGCACCGGCTCGGCGCATCATACTAACAGCATTGTATTTTCAATTCCAAGTGAATACATGTTAGCTGTAGCATTTCATATGCCATGTTTAGGATAGCCAAGCCTGCTATAGTTGCATTTTTGCATGTGTTGCATTAGGCACATTTCTGTATAATTAGGATCATGCATGGATTTCTAAACCATTTTCCACCACCGTCTTCCGCCGCCACCACTTGCCATTTCTCACTCTTTTTTATATTTTTAAAATTTTTTAAACATTTTGTTTAAACCAAACGCGTTTGTAGTTTATGTTTTTCAAAAAATAAACAAAAATCAATTTATAAAATTTTTGTAAATATAAACTGAAAACGTAAACATTACCAAACAAGCTATAGTTATGAGAAGAACAACAGCATTCCATGTAATGATTGCTTGACTTATTTCTATTTTGTTGGTTATGCTGATTTCATAATCATCTTTTGTTATGAATTATCTAAGGACTCCAATTGATGTGATTTTAAATTCATGAAGTCATTAAATCTCTCTTGGCATATGATTCAGGATTTCATTTAGATTTCAAAATGATTATGTATTTGGTTTTAGAAAATCAGGGCTAGTTAGCTCAAATAAGAAGTGAAATAAACAATAAAGATAGTTCTCAAATCAAGTTTAAAAAAAGAAAAAAAAAAAAATTAGGATACTACAAGGATACAATTTAAATAATAAGAACAATGTATTCAACAAAAAACTAGATATCGTTGAAACACAATATGGTGATTCAAATAGCTCCACTATTTTATTTTATTTTATTTTATAATGGATAGGAGGGAATAATGGAGTAAAAGAGAAACTATACTCGTAACGATAAGACTCATCATGTCTAGTAAGGGAAGAACTCATCTATCAAGCCAACTCTTTGATGTTCAAATAGCTTAATTTAATAATGTCATTGTTTTATTATGTGTGATTTATTAGTCATAACTCAGGCTATGTTAGCCTATTTAAAAGTTCAATAAACTTGGCCAGAAAATATTAGTGAATTTTTTTTTTTTTTTTCTTTCCGCATAGAATGATCCGTTGCATTCATTTTAGTGAACTACAATGAGAAAGACTAAAGACTGAATGTGCAAGGTTTACATACAAAAACAAAAAGACAAAAATAGACCAACATGAATGGCCAAGGCAACAACAAAAAACCCTGATATAATAGAGGGAGGTTTGTTTTTACTTTTTCTAAGAGAACTTGCATTCTGGAGCAAGTCCCTCTGGAAATCGCATCTTGTCGATGCAGTAATTGTACACCATATGATTCTTTTGCACCCATTTCATTCTCTCTAGGCTTGTAGAATTCAGCTTTTCCGACATCCACAAATAATCAATCGAGTTAGAAGTTGGGGACTTCGAGTTGCAAGACGATGCCCCTTCAGACCAAATGCAAGCATCGGCTTTGTAGTTTCTATACGATGCAGTGAAAGGAGCTTTTTTCCAGTCAGTCTTGACAAGCCCACCCTTTGTAGCCCAATCATCAGCGTTCCATAAACTAGAGTATACCTTCATGGGTTGGTCCTTTGGGAATGGAATACCCTTTGATTCCATGTTCTTGAACTCCCTAATGGGTGTTCCATCCACAGAGAAAACAATCCTATGGGGGTTCCAAAGTATGGAATAGGTATGAAAATCCGTAGTTGGGTCAAACCACAAAAAGAATTGTTGTTCTCTATTACCCTTGCCTTGACAATACACATTAGTGTGAAGAGTATAAGGATCACCACTTGAATTTCCTAAAAACTCAAAATCTATCTCATCATGGGTTGGCCCTTCCGATGATAAATAGTAGGTGGTGACCGTGCCAGCTGAGTTCCCAGCTATGAGCTTGATTTGCATCTCAATCTTTCCAAAAAGATACTCTTTTTTGGATTGAAAGCCCGAGCCTGAATTTTTGTCTAGCGATAGAGTCAAAAGCCCGCCATTGTTGTGTACCTTAGCACGCCCATTGCCCCACGTGATGTTAAACTCTCTTTCAAGATTGCCACCCTCCGCGTTCATGAACAAACGAGTTTGTTCATTGAAACTATGGCGTGCAATGGCTTTGGTACGAGATAGGAAGGTGTCGAGGTTGAAGAAGAAGAGGAAGGCAAAGATGGAGAAGAAAACGAGGAGAGGGATGCAACGAGGAGGGAGGAAGGAGGAGGACTTAGAAGGGTTTGTGTTCCTTGATTGCATACCCATTGTAGGCTTGAGTTTGTGATGTGCAACATTGACTTGCCTATCATGTTTTGAGTCTTGATTGAGTCTAATTTTGTCTAAATGTCTCTCTTTCTCTCACTTTTTGTTGGTGTTGGCATTTCATCAAACATGTGGAGGGCTGTGAGTTGTGCCTATTCCGACTCTTCCTCGCTCGAATGATTGTCCATGCGTCTTGGATTTTCTGTAAATTATGTTTGTGGTCTATCTTCTTCTCTATTAAGTGGCTATTGGGAGTTCCTTTTATGCATCTATACAAAAAGTGTGAAAATGTGTACAACATATAAAAATATTTTTGATAAATAAATTATCTCAATTTGAATGTAAAATGTAAATAGTATATGTGTCTTCATGAACAATTCAAGTTTAATTTGTTTAAGACTGATTTTTGAAATTATGAGAACAAACTGAATTGGAGTCAAACTACCCTCAATTCGAATATATTCAGGAACGCAGAGATATATAAATTAATATTTATTTACTTTTTTACAAATCAAATATATTTTTATTAATTTATTTTATTTGTATCTTTATGTTTGGTGTTTGTGCAAATGTATTATTTTTTTATTAATAATATAAGTATTCTTTTTGATTTTGTTCATAATTTTTTCTATTTTTTTTTCCCCCTAACATGCATCTTGATTTAAATTTGATTTGTTTCAAGCTCAAGATTGGTTAATTTATTTAATTGAGCCGAACTTAAATTTTTTAAGAAAAGTATTTGATAGCTCGAATTTGATACATTCGAACTATTCGGATCATGAAAATTCAAACTATCAAGTATTATTAATTTTTTAAATATTGAACGAATCGTGTCCGAACTTGAGCTCAATTTTTAAATTCAACTCGATTTTTTAAATATTGGACGAACCGTGCCCAAACGCGAGCTCAATTTTTAAATTCAACTTGAGTTCGGTTTAAGCTTGAGCTCAAAGCCAAGCATTAACACCCAAAACTCGACTACTTTGCCTACTGACACAACACAAGGTATCACTAGGACATTAGGCCTTGTTTGGTTTGGTTTTGCAAAAAAAGATTTTGGAGAAAATTTTTGAAAATTTTGTTTAGTTTGTAATTTTTCTCAAATTTTTTTCAAAATTACTTTTTCTCTCCTCTCTCTTTTTCAATAACTTTTTCACTCACATACATCTACTCAATTACAACAAAATACCAAATCATCTCAAACTCTCAAACTTCAAAATTATTTTCAAAATATACAACCAAACAAATTACAAAAATTTCTAAACTCTCTTCCTAAAATATTTTTTGAAAACTTATCTCCCAAAATCAAATCAAATAAGGCCTAAATTTTTTACTTTGTCAACTTCCACCGAATTTAAATGCCATGGTTTAGATATTTGATAATTCTCTCTCTGTATTTTATTTATTTATTTATTTTTTTACCGCTCTCTCTGTGCATTTTATAATAGATTTATTGATAATTTTAGAAATTTTGTTATCTTATTATCACAGTATGGAGAGTATCTGATGCTTTTAGTTTGAAGTACTTTTTATAACATTGAAATCCTGTAATATGAAACACATCCCGTTTGTTTGGGGTTATAGGAAGGGGATTGAGACTATTAATACTTTGGTATTACTAATACTTTGTTTGTTTTGAGAGATGGCCTTGGGACTACTAATACTTTGGTATTACTAATACCCTTGGAAGAGGGATTCATAGTGAAGAAGTAGAGATAGTATTAGAAAAATAGTGAGGGGATTAGAAAATTTTTATTTATTTTTTATTTTTTATATATTGGGAATTTTTTTTAAAATATTAATGTTTAATTTTTATATTTTTTTATTTGTTTTATTATTTTATATAAAAATAATTTAACAATTTCTCACTACTAATCTCCTCACTATTAATTCCCTCTCTATCAATCTCTTCCCTTCTATCTCTGAAAACAAACGGGCATAACTCCTGTTCACTTTTTCTCTTTTTTTTCAATGGTTGTAGATCAGCTTAATCAAGTGAATGCGGAGGCACTGAAGGATGAGTAATTATTTAATCATTTTGAAATATTATGTGATATTGTTTTAATCATTTTGAAATGTTATGTGATATTGTTTTAATATTCTAAAAGTAGTTAATAATAGATGACAATTCCCAAAATTTTCTCCTATGAATAGTTTGCAAATTATATGAGACATTTATCCTTGCTAGTACTACCTGAAATGATTATTTACAAGTTATATGGATGAATAAATGAAATTGTCATATTTTTCATGTTGAAATATATATTTTATCTTATTTATTCTTATATTTTTACACTATTTATATTAGTTTTGACCCTTATAATTATGTCAAAATTATGATATTATTATAAATTTTCTAAGTTTCAAGGATGTCAGTATAATTATTACAAAACACGATTTGCATTTTATTTTATTTTATATATATCCATATTCAGATTTGAAATCTAGTTATATGACAGTCTACTAGAATATCCAAAATAACCCTCTTTATTATATCTTTTCTAATCATTAATTAATTATCTTTTTTTATATCACTGGGTTTAGAAAGTGGGTATACAAAAGGACTAGACATCGAGTTTATAATCAAACTGGAGAGATGTTGTTCGGTCCAATGGGCTTATTTTTGGGTCTTATTTCGATGATCCGATCCATTTATAATTTAGGGTTCGTCGAGTACATCATACCTACAAAAAATCAAATTGATCGAATAACAAAAATTATGTGTTTAAATCAGTTTTATATGAACGATTTATTTTTCATTATTTATTTTCTTCCACACAAAATTGATCAGAATATGTGGTTTCTGTTATCTGATCGACTTTTTTTTTTGCAAGTATGATATACTCGATGAACCTTAAAATATGAATAGTTTGGATTATCGAAACGGAGTCCAAAACGAACCCATTGGGCCGAACATCACCTCTCTAGTCTGATTATGGACCGGAAAGAAACTCAGTCCTATAAAAATAAAAAAATAAAAAAAAAAGATTTCTATATTATTTTCTAGAAGAATAAAAGAAATTTAAGTCTCTTATATTGTGTATTGTTGGAAAAATTGGTTTTATAAGGCTTATTTTGGGCCAACTTTAAGTCCAAAATTGAGTGGGCCCAAATGTCTTTTGAGGTGGGTCTGAAGAAGTGACATGTTCCTTACCGCATGGCAAGTCACACAGTAAAGACGGTTCGTAAAAACCATTTATGAGTGAATGTGAAGTTGACATCGTTTTCGAGTTCGTGGAATTGGACATTAATGTTTTAAATGTGGGTTTCTTTGTAAAGCTAGCCCCACATTGAAACTTGAAGAGAACTTTGTGTGTATATAAGTTCTAGGTGTACAACCTTGGATTGGGCCCCAAAGGGCACCCCAAGTTTGTAGAAGGGAGAAGTTATGGACAAAATGAACCTTAGCCCAAACCACCACATACCACCACATACGCGCACGCGCGCTGCCGTCCGAGCGCGGGTATGAGTTATGGGTCGGGTCGGTTCTTATATTAATTTTTTGAACAAAATTTATTTGAATTTTTAAATTCAAATTTTGTGCCAAAAATTGAATTAATTTTCTGTCCATTTTGGTCTCCTTCAATCCGAAAATTCGAACAGATTAACTGCTCATAACTGCTACAGTTACACAGATTGAAACTGAACAATGCACTGTTCGGACAGATCATACAGTCCAAACAGGTATTATATCTGTTGCACCCAGACAGATCTGTTCAGTAGTTATATAACTGCCCAGACAGATTTAAATCTGTCCAGCAGTTTCAACAGATATGTTCAGCAGTTATCTGTCTCAAAACTGTCCAGACAGTTTTTGGACAGATTCAGTTATCTATTCTAATTTGAAACAGCACTTGCTCATTCAAAAAACCACCTGTTCAATTTGTGTTTCATACCTGTTCGGGACTAGTTGTTTGCCTATAAATTCCAGCATTTTCCAGCAGTTTTAGGGGTTAAAAAACAGTCTGAAAAATACAATTTTGCTGTCTAGATTTTTATCTCTGTTTGCATTTATTCTTCATATTATTTTAGGGAAAAATTCAAAGGGTTTAGAACACATGGTTTAGTTCGCCGGACAAATTTGTTTAGAGTGCTACTACAAATTTGTGAAGATCATTGTATCTTGAGAGATAGATGCCACTTAACCGTAAGCACCGTAGCAGGACGAATCTGTCTTAAAGATAGAGTGTCACACACTCGACTTGATATTTTATTCTCCATTCGGTTCGATAAAAATAAATTCTGTAAGTTATTTATTTTATTTATTTATTTTATTTTGTTTCGATTTATTTATTGTACACAGAAGATTGTTCCAACAATCTTAAGACAGATCTGAATTATTCTGTTTATAGAATTTTTCGTTTATTTCCTTTTTTCTTTCTTCTTTTTACAAAAATTATTTTCTGTGATTTTACAAAATAATATTCTGGTTGGAAAACAAATAGTAGTACTATACTGTCTATTTTTTTTGGACAACTAGTAGTATTATACTTGTGTTATTAACAATTCAGAATATTTATTTGTGAAATTTGTCAGAAATTAATTTTGGTTTTCTTAATTTATTTCTAAGTGTTCATTAATTAAAAAATTATGTTTTAGTTTTTTTTTTTAATTATTGAAGTGTTACAGAAATTTAATTTTCTGTGTAGAATTAATTTGGTTAAATAAAATTTTATTTTATTTCCAAGTTAATTGAAAAATAAAAGTTACATTCTTGTTTCTTTTATTTTTACAGAATTTAATTCTGAGAATTTGGATTAATTTTCTGTATAGTATAAATTCTAATAATCATTTTGTTTTATAATTTAGAATTCATGGCTATTGAAACTAATTCCCAAACAAGTACTAGTGTGGTGGCTGCAATTGCACCAACCCCTCTCATGTTGTGATAGTATCGGTAAAATCACGGTGAGAAGCCAGAGAAGTTCTCTGGAACTGATTTTAAAAGATGGCAACGGAAAATGTTGTTCTATCTTATTACTCTTAACATGGCACGCTTTCTCTGTGAGGATGCTCCTGTTTTGAAAGATGATGAAACTGATCGGCAAGTAATTACTGTGGTCGATGCCTGGAAATAAGTTGATTTCCTTTGCCGGAACTAGATCTTGAACGGACTTGACAACACATTATACAACGTCTACAGTCCTATCAAGACAGCAAATGAACTTTGGGAGTCTTTGGAGAAAAAGTACAAAACGGAAGATGCCGACTCAAAGAAATTTGTGGTTGGCAAATTCTTGGACTTTGTAATGGTTGATTCTAAGATTGTGATCAGCCAAGTTTAAGATCTCCAACTCATTCTGCATGACATTCACGTAGAAGGCATGTCTCTTAGTGAGTCCTTCCAAGTTGCAGCCTTAATTGAGAA